TATATACATATATATACATGTGTATATGTTTATATATGTATATATATATACCCATATATACATATTCACACACACACACACACACACACACACACACACACACATATATATATATATATATATATATATATATATATATATATATATATATATATGTACATATATGTGTGTGTGTGTGTGTGTGTGTGTGTGTGTGTGTGTGTGTATGTGTGTGTATGTGTGTGTGTGTGTGTGTATGTGTGTATGTGTGTATATATATATATACACATATATATACACACACACGCACACATACATACATATATTGATACATGTATTGATACGTAATAACAATGTCATCAACTCCATTAACTATTATTTTTTGTAGTAACGAAGTTTGTTCTGACATTTTCATGTCAAAAATGTTTCTGTAATTTCATATGTATTCTAATAAATTGTTGGATATTCAAACTGCAGATTTAAGAAAGTTCTGCAGTGAATTCCCGGTTTACAGACACATAAGAGGCAACATTAATTCCAGGTTGGGAAAACATTCACATCTTATATAATATTTTAGTGGAATAAAGAGAAAGATTTTAATAACTTCACTGTTAGGTTTCAATTTCAAAGTACAAACTTACTGATTCTTTAAACTATAGTGAACTACAAAACACGTGGATTCACCTTTTTTTTTTTTTTATCCTGATCCTCACTGGCAATATCCTGAAAACGCAACCCTACCTTCGGTCACACACGAGGAGGAGCTGTCAGGGAAATACATTTATGTATCTTATTTGTATTGACACAGTTATATCACGATATGATACTTCCGTATATCAGTTCACACTGTTACCGAAATTTATACGAATGCGATGCTAAAGCCATGATTTCGGCATTGCTTGGAGTTAGTAATCAGTGATTAGTGTGTATCATGATATAAGAATTTATACAAAAATTTATAATACAAGTAATATATTTGCTAAAATTAACTGAAGTGCAGATGCTGTCATGGTTAATAAATGTTAGGGCCGCATACCATGCGAATTACCGTGTAATATCAACACTGTAGAGGGTGACTGCCAATTATTATTACAAAAAAGCAGCTCTTTCATGTAATACAGCAAATCTTCTGATAATCACACTGATTTGTGTATTTCATCTGCGGTACAAGTACTGTGGTTTCGGATTTTAATACAGAATGAACTTAATTGATGCGTACAGATGACGCCTATAAGGACATCCATTCTCTTTACACGATAAAATCTTTGTACATATTTTCGTAAACACAATAATATACAATTTCCGATTATATTGGAAAGATGGCGGGAATTTGTTAAGGAAATAAAATTCAAGAGTGCTGTTTCCCTGGCGAATTTGTTTGACCCCCGTAGACACTTTAGGGCGCCGTCCAAACTATGACATGACCAAAGCCTTCATTACACTTTGGCGTAATACTATCGACCCGGCGTGGCAAGTGATTGGTTGATTATTTATGATTGTTGATGACAGCTTACGGACTGTAAGCTGTGGCTGGTTAGCTTCGAAGGATAAAATGATAAACTCGCCTTAGTGCATTGCAAAATAGATATGGAGATGTTAAGTTAGGTTGCCTCTTGGTAGCATTTTGTTTTAAAAATGGTGTATAACTTGAATTTTTCATTTTAATACAGACTTTGAGAATGTGCACTTACTTGCCGATAGCGTAACATTGCTATGCTGTTTGTGTAATAGGATTTTTTTCCCCTCAGATTAATTAATGCAAATACTGTCTCCAAAGGGATTAATGGAAAGATAAGAATGGGAAAACACGAAGGTGAATAACTGTTATTTTATTTTGCAAAATATGAACACCATTCCGGAAGCCTGGACTTCAACATTTCATGATATATCTTTCAGGGTTTATTAACTTTACCCTATAGAATGGGCTAATTTCAATACTTCTGCTGTATATGCATGGGTACCAGTCCCTCATATTCGGATGGTGGCACCCTACCCACGTGCAGGTAACTGGCACGCTAAACGCTAGCTAGAAAGATAAACTCTTGGTCGTGAGTGACTTGAACGTACAATAACGTAGTAATGAAGATCTTCATCACAACGTACAATAACGTAGTAATGAAGATAACAGTACTATCACAATAAACTTTAGAAATTACAATCATAAAATGGAAAGACATTTTATTCATATTCATAGTGGATTTTGCACATTTCTCTTTTTTTTTTTACATTCATTTCGTATTCCTTTGTCAGCATTAACAGTCACGGTGAATATAATGTTCGCTGATCGAACATTTAATGAGATTTTAATTTGGTTTTGTGTAGCAATGAATAGTGTGAGAAAAATGTTTAGTGATAACATTTGTTCGGAGAAGCATTGTGGTAATAGTGATAATGAGACGGTTATCATTATGCTTGTGGTGATGACTAAAGCCTGATAAAGATAAGGATGATGGTTCTGGTGATCATTTTTGTGCTGGTGATAACACTGCTGATGATGGTATTGCTGCTGATGATGGTGCTAGGAATAGTAGTGGTAATGGTGGTGGTGATGATGATGATGTTGGTTGTGATGATGATAGCAGATAATTCGGAGGATAATAATGATAACAATGATGTTGACGATGGAGATATAACATTAAGATGATAATAATAATAATAGTAAAATATCACCGATAATGAATTATGCACAAGAATGAAGACAAAACCATCCAGAAAATCCGAATTTAAGACATTAATATGACTCACAAAGCAAAATGAATTAATCATTTTGCCAGGAGACTGACATAGAAAAAAAAACGGATATGATCTCTCCCTCTCTCTCTCTCAAAACAAAACAAAACAAAACAAAACAAAACAAAACAAAAAAGAAAAAAAAATACAATTAATTTTGGCCTTTTGAAGAGAATATTACAGCATCCATATATTGTTTATATTATTTGCTGTCACCGGATGCCATGGCATACACTGTTCATTGCGAGAAAAGTAGAAACGGTATGAATGAAAATGGATATCTTGACACTCTGAGGCGTATTTGACCGGTTTCGATTATATCTTCGTCAGAAATTATGTATTTATGGGTTAAGCCCGCGTTCTTTTCTATTCTTTCTCTATTTATTATTGATTTTTTGTTTTTACTGTAATTCGATTATCTTTATTGTAAAGAACAAGTTTGCGCTCCTGGAAGCAAATGCAGTAACGCATGTAGGCCTATAAAGTTTAATGAAACCCGCGTACAACAACGATAATTTGCGGTTTGGTGTTAACTTGTCTGCGTGTTGTTGTGTTTTAGCTCAAGCTCTGTGCAGTTTTTGTGTGTTATGATTTGATTTGTTATACATTGGCATAAAATAGATTGTTCAGAATCTACCATGAATTGTTTTATTATACATTAGCATATATAGATTGTTCAAAAGCTATTATGTTATGTTAAAGAAACGTTTCATTGGACATTTACATTGTAAAAAAATGTTCAAATCATACATACCTGTCAATGCATTTATGAAGAATGAATTTCTGTCTTTATTTCTCCACACCCATCCGTATTTTTTCATCCTCCACCTACTCGGCTTATTATTCATCCCCATTCCTATCCTTATCCGTATCGTTTACAACCACAATGATAACAATCTTGACCACATGCCGGGCCATAGCCGAAGGCCCGGGCGAAGCTAGAACTTCGCAAATCACAATCGATCTTGACCACATACTTTCATGTCAAACTTGGGACCCTCCGATGCATTTAGGTCCATCAGTATGTAGATTACATCAAAATCACATGTTGAATTTAACAGTTAGACATTTAAGCATTAAAACGCTACTCTGTCTCTGTCTCTCTGTCTCTGTCTGTCTCTCTCTCTCTCGCTCTCTCTCTCTCTCTCTCTCTCTCTCTCTCTCTATATATATATATATATATATATATATATATATATATATATATAAATAAATAAATAAATAAATATAAATATATATATTTATATATATATAGAGAGAGAGGGATAAATAATATGTACATATATATAGATAGGTAGATAGATAAATGGGATACATTTTAAAAGACTAAAAGTATGCCCGTCTCTGGTTAAAGAGTAACTGACATAAAACACAATACCGATTTCATCTTTCTCTGGCCCATACTTTCACCAATAGTGGAGGGCCGATGATAATGATAATGATGGCGACAACCACACACACACACACACACACACACACACACACACACACACACACACACACACACACACACACACACACACACACACACACACACACACACACACAGAGGACACAGACCAATAGCATACACACATACAAACCAATAAATGTACACATGGCATCCAAACGAGCTTGAATTCCCCCCTCCCCCACCCGGGTAACAAGCATAAGAGAACGGCCTCTTACTACATATACTTGCCTTTAACTAGGTTGTTTGGTTGTCAAACTGTGAAGTAAATTATGATCTCGACCATTTGTTTTAACTTTTTTTTATTTTTTTTTAATTTTTTTTTATGTCGGTATATGTGTATATCTGAGAGTGGCTGTTTGTGCATTCGTGTGTGCGTTTAAACGTGTATGTGCCTTTTCCAGTACAAGTGTCTGTTTGTATAAATTCTCTCGTTATTTTTCTTTCACAATCTTCTTATCTTTTATTCTCTCTGAATTTGTCACCTAATTTCCTGTGATGAATCAAAAGTGTGCCGTTAGAATAATCTTGTTTCACACATAAGCACACACGCGTACAAACCTTACATTTTCTTCTACCGTCTGTTAGTTTATCGTTTTTTTTTTTTTTCATATATCAGACTTCGTTAACCAATCAGAATACTGTTATCTTATTTTTCATACTTCCTCTATCATTGTTTGGCTGTCGCATTTTAATGCAGAGGCGTGTATATGAAAATAAAAGAAGGGGATGTAATGTTTTAATTAACAATAATATAGGTAACAGTACATCTAAGAAATATACACTTACAATATATATATCTCGAAAGATATAAAAGTTAAGAATAATATACACGTATTTGTTTTAAGCAATAGACATCAGGACATATCGTATATATGTGCTAAGTCTATCACCATATTCTTTGATTGTCAATACTTGTAGACGAAGCTACACTCAGTCATTAGAATACCCTAAAAAAGAATGCTACATAACATTTTGCAGTATGAAAATAAAATCAAGACATATTAGCCACAATTTTTTACAATACGCCGCCAGGAATTCTCACAAGTCTGTTAGTGTTCCTGGTAAACGGATTCTGCAAATACTGCAAAACGGCCCTGAGAGAAAGGGGGTTTCTTTACCTCGCTCTTAATTGTCATCTTCCTTATCGCTGTCATCATCACCATCATCATCTTCCCTTGACACTTCCTCACTGTTACTGCGTCTATCATTAGACTGAGAGACCACCGAAGGGATGAAGAAAGCGGAAGAACCTGCTGATGGGGAAACTACGGACTGGTTGGGAAGGAAGACTTGACCCCTGTTTATGTTGAAGGACGACTGGGAAGGCAAAGAAGACACTTGCTGCAGCAGGACAGGGGCTGAAGGCTGTTGGACCTGTGATATGGGGAAGACTTGTGCCCTGGTTGGCAAGATGGAAGGCTGGCGGACCTGAACTGGAGATAGAAGGGCAGGCTGACTTCTAACAGGGGTAGAGGATGGCTGAGGAGCTGGTATGGGAGCTGGAGAAACAGCCTGACTTCTGACAGGAGCAGATGAAGCTTGTGGAACAGGAAGAGCAGCCTGATTTCTAGCTGGTGCTAGGATAGGCCTGGGAGCTGGTGCAGAGAAGGCAGCCTGGCTTCTGTTTGGTACAAGGGAAAGTTGAGGAGCAGGGAATGGAGCCTGACTTCTAGAAGGAATAAGAGCGGGAGGAGATTGAGCAGCCAGTGCAGGCCCTGTTGAAGCAGGAGCAGCTGGGAATCCGTTAGATATGGGAGATGGTGAGTTTTGTAAAAGGAAGACAAAAGGTGTGAAAGGCGAAGATTGAGCAGCCTGTGCAGGAGCTGATGGGGAAGAAAGAAAAGCCTGGGCACCAGTAGGAACAGGTGCAAACTGAACAGGTTGTGCAGGAACTGATGGAGAAGATAGAGCAGCCTGGCCACTAACAGGGGCAGACACCTGTACTGGAAGACGGGGAGGCGGAAGGGGTGACTGACTTCTTGCTGGAGCAGCAAAAGCCTGTGGAGCCTGTGCAGGAGCTGATGGAGAGGAAGGGGCAGCCTGGCCACCAGTAGGAACAGGCGCAAACTGAGCAGGTTGTGCAGGAGCTGATGGAGAGGAAGGGACAGCTTGGCCACCAGTAGGAACAGGCGCAAACTGAGCAGGTTGTGCAGGAGCTGATGGAGAAGAGAGAGCAGCCTGGCCACTAACAGGGGCAGACACCTGTACTGGAAGACGGGGAGGCGGAAGGGGTGACTGACTTCTTGCTGGAGCAGCAAAAGCCTGTGGAGCCTGTGCAGGAGCTGATGGAGAGGAAGGGGCAGCCTGGACACCAGTAGGAACAGGTGCAAACTGAGCAGGTTGTGCAGGAGCTGATGGAGAGGAAAGGGCAGCCTGGCCACCAATAAGAACAGGGGCGGAAGCTTTTACTGGAAGACGAGGAGGTGGAAGGGGTGACTGACTTCTTGCTGGAGCAGCAAAAGCCTGTGGAGCCTGTGCAGGAGCTGATGGAGAGGAAGGGGCAGCCTGGCCACCAGTAGGAACAGGTGCAAACTGAGCAGGTTGTGCAGGAGCTGATGGAGAGGAAGGGACAGCTTGGCCACCAGTAGGAACAGGCGCAAACTGAGCAGGTTGTGCAGGAGCTGATGGAGAAGAGAGAGCAGCCTGGCCACTAACAGGGGCAGACACCTGTACTGGAAGACGGGGAGGCGGAAGGGGTGACTGACTTCTTGCTGGAGCAGCAAAAGCCTGTGGAGCCTGTGCAGGAGCTGATGGAGAGGGAAGGGCAGCCTGGACACCAGTAGGAACAGGCGCAAACTGAGCAGGTTGTGCAGGAGCTGATGGAGAGGAAAGGGCAGCCTGGCCACCAGTAGGAACAGGCGCAAGCTGAGCAGGTTGTGCAGGAGCTGATGGAGAGGAAAGAGCAGCCTGGCCACCAGTAGGAACAGGCGCAAGCTGAGCAGGTTGCGCAGGAGCTAATGGGGAAGAAAGAGCAGCCTGGCCACCAGTAGGAACAGGGACAGACTGAAGAGGCTGAGCAACAGGGAAAGCTGGCTGGTTTCCGGCAGGAGCTGGGGCAGTGGCCAACTGAGGAGTCGGCTGAAGTCTAGCAGGAGCAGAGGCAAACTGTGGGGCAGGGACAGCCTGAGGGAACTGTGCAAAGACAGGGAAGGTAGGCTGAGGAGCTGATGCAGGGGCAGGGGAGGCAGGAGCAGCCTGTGTTGGAGATAATGAAGTAGGACGGAAAGCAGAATTTGGAATAGTCAGGGGAGACTGGGTAAGGAGGATAATTGGCCTGTTAAAAGGAGCAATTTGAGGAGCAGGAGCAGGAGCAGGGGCAGGAGCAGGAGCAGGGGCAG